ACTAGCTGCAATCGTGTCTCGTATGGGAGTTCCAGTCTGCCCAGCCCAGACCTCTTTCACCCAGCGCAGTCTAGTCTTTGTCAAATACTATAGGTGTCAATATGTGCCATTGGCTTCAGTGACACTTTATTTTGGTTTGAGTAGCTTTGATTATACATGTTCCTTTTCTGCCACGTGTTGGCACGTGGAATTGTTAATAGTCTTTTAAAAAATACATTGCTCACCTCTCCTCCCCACCTCCCAGCAGAACTTGCATGCACATGGATACATGAATTCACTATTTTTCTGGTACTTTGCTTAGAATGGTGGTGATTTCTCTCAGCAACTTACTTGATGCTCTACTTGCTATATATGTGTTATAATTTGTTTCCCAGTTATGACTGAAATTTTTCAAAGCTTTTTTTTTTCAGTTTCCAGTTGAACTTGTCTATTAATAAAGTTCAACTCTATTTTTATATCCATATTCCTTTCTTTAGGGTATAAATATGACTCTCATTTGAACTTATTAATAAAATATTTTCTTTATACTTTTCATAAAAAAACAAGTTATTGGACACCAAATAGGTGCTAGGCACTGGAGTTGCAAAGATGATTAAGATAATTTTGGGTCTCAGGTAGCTTACAGTGAACTCGGCTCCATTGTGGTTGGGGTTCTGTTTGTTTGATTTGGTTTGGGTTTTGGTTTTCCCTTATCGGAGAAAGCTTTATTTTCCAGGCTTATTGCTGTAAAATGTAAACTTCTCTTACAGAGTGGTTTTAGATGTCCTATTTTCCATTTTATTTAAACTCTGGCTCTGTATGTTCCTGTTGTGTTTGGGGAATAAGGAGGAGAAGGGTCCACTCAGTGGCTGTTCTTTCTCCATGTGGTCGCACTGACCACTGCTTGTCAGTGCTGAATAGATTTGTTTTGTAAAACAGATCTCCTTTACACGAGTATGATGACCTGATGCTTGGTAACCAGTGCTGTTCCTAAGAAAGGATTAATGTGTGGCTGAGTCCAGGTGGATTTGAATCTCAGGCTTTCTTTGTTCTTTCTTATATGTGATCATCTGACCACCCCTCCTGTCCTTGAAATTTAGAACAAGAGGATTTACCTTATGTCTAGTTGCAAAGCGGTTGAAAACTGGCCATTTAAAAACATTTTTTAAAGTAGAACGTACCCATAAGGAAACTGACATTTGTGGAATGTATTAGTTTGCTGGGGCTGCTGTAACACATTACCACAGACTAGGTGGCTTAAACGACGGGAAATTTATTTTCTCACAATTCTGGAGCCCAGAAATCTAAGATCAAAGTGTTGGCAGGGTTGGTTCTTTCTGGGGGCAGTGAAGGAAGATGTGTTCCAGGCCTTTCCCCCTAGTTTGTAGACAACTGTCTTCTCCCTGTGTGTTTCCTCTGGGTGTGTCTATGTCCAAATTTCCCCTTCTTATAAGGGTCCCAAACACATTGGATTAGGGCTCACCCTAATGACCTCATTTTAACTTAATTACCTCTGTAAAAGACCCTTTCTCCAAATACAGTCACATTCTGAGATACTGGGGTTTAGGACTTTAACATCTGAATTTTGGCAAGGGACACAATTCAGCCCATAACATGAAGTGACTCCAAGGTCCTAGGAAGATGCGAGGTACTTTCATATACACTAATTTATTTGATCTTCACAAAATTGCCACACTAGAGGAACACTGTGATCTCATTTCATAGATGAGAAAAACTGAGATTAAGAGCAAGGACTCATCTTATGCAAGGTCATCGACTAAAAAGTAGCAAAATCAAGACTTGAATCTAAATCTGTGTGATCTACTCTGTTATGCTGCTTCTGTGTATTTTCCTTCTCAATTATTTTCTTCCTTTGTAAATGTAATACTTTTAATCAAAACAGAGCCCAGGAAGGTTCTACTCTATCCTTCTAGCTAGGAAAAATTATTTTTATAAATGTGTTTGGCTTTCTGTTTGGCAGCCAATGCCTGCACTCCTGGGCACCTATGCCAGCTTCTCTGCATCTTTCAACCTTCTCTAGCAGACCCTGTGACTCAGTTAACTGCTGCTCCCAAATCCACATCAGGTGTTAACATCCGCTCTGTTACTTTCATCTAATAAGCGAGTTGTCTGGTTGGGGGGAGTTTGGATTGGTTTGATGTGTTTCATTATTTGGAAATCTTTAGAATTTCTCCAAGAGCAAAACTCCTTTAAGTGAGAGATTGCATCCTACGTGCAGAGTCTTTTTGGGTTTTGAGCCAAAGGATGGAGAAATAAGGAGAGAACACTTATAGGTGGACAGGGTACAAAGTAATGTGAATCTTGCTGAGACGGTGGGAGGAGATTAATGATGAAGATGGACGATCTCCCAAGAGTTGGTGAAACCATCTGGTCTTGAATGCAATCAGGAGAGTACCAGACTAGGATGGATATAGCACTTTTATTACCAACCTGCCAAGCGTAGATAATGAAACCAGTAAGTGAAATTGGAAAATTGTTCAGCCACATCCACAAATAGCTTGTGGTTGACTTAAACATTTAAAAATACATGCTTTTTACCAAGAAATGAAAAATAACACTTTTCCTAGTAACGTGCAGAGTACTAGGGTTCTAATTCTAGTGTACCACTTACTACTCATATGTCTTGGGCAAATTAGTCTCATTGAACGTCAGTTTATCTGTCAAAGCAGCAAGAAGGTAGCCTTGAAGGTCAAATGAGATATGACCTTTAAGCTATATTTGCAAACTATAGAGTGCTCTACTTATGTTAGCTATTTTTATTATTACTTTATTTTTGGCCCAAATCTAACAGAACCCACAATTATGCTGAATTATCCAGTTTGATTTTCCAGTTTATAGATTATCCAGATTACTTGTATTCTTTCCCCTTTTTACTCTTAAATGCTGTTTAATTCTTTGAAAATATCTTAGAACCATTGTGAAACAGGAGAAAGAATACTTAGGAATTTTTACTTTTTCATTGCAAAAATATATATATTTTTTGATATTTACAGATGCTTAATGGGGAAACAGTTGATAATAGCCCAGATAATGAAGAGCTTGTTGTATATACCAAAAAAGTGGCCTGTCACATTTTAAAAGCACTAAGGCCTTCTGAGGAAATGACCTGTCATCTGGTTTTGAAACAGTCCTGGCAGACTCCTGGTAGATGCTGACACTTTTAATTTTTCCTGAGAGCTATTAAAATTGTAGAACTTTAGAACTGTATTCCCATATCGCCTTGATGGGCCAAATGATTGAATAGAACACGTGATAAGAATCTTTCCTCTATGATGAAGCACCACGGAAAATCCTGAGTTGGCAATTTGTAAAGTGACTGCAGATCAAGTCTCTCAGTTTCTCATTGTCCAAGCATCTGTAAGAAGTTCTCTTGGAATAGGAAGGTCTCTTCATACCTGCAAATAAAATATCGTGTCCATCCTGTTATCTCGCCAGTAAAGAGTACATTACCTCTTAGCTCAAATTAAAAATGATTGCTTCTTGTTCTACAGACCACAACAAGATAGGAACAGCATTTCCTCTTTTCTGGGACTAGGACCACAAGAAACAGGAGGGGGATGGGATTCACTTAGGGTAAGCGCATCGTGAAGGTGAAGGATCTTAATAGTGGCAAAGTCCTTGGGGGATAATTTTATTGACCACAGCCTGATACTTGGTTACTTAAGAAGTGGAGTCTCTTAGGCTTCAATAACCTTGCTTTCATGGTTTTTCAAATTCCTAGGCGAGCCAGAGGAAGGTGGCTAGTTTGGGGAAGAAATGATCTGTGAGATAATAGGGTGCTACATTCCAATTTAATATGACTCAGACAGCTGGTGGCCATTCACTGTCAGTACTCTCTGAGGAAATCAGTTAACTGCAGTTATATATCAGGATTTTAACTAAAATTTGGCATCTGGTTAACCAGAGTGAACTAATTTGGTATGCCAGCATCTCTCTTCTGTGCACTCTCCTTTATGACTGCATGGATATGATCAGGTTGATGCCAGGGAATCTATTATTCTGACAAATGCTAATCAGAGACAGGAGTCTGATTTTAAATTCAAATTCACTATGCACTATTAACTTTTCTAACATTGTGTGCTTTTGATGGCCTCATTTGCATGATTTTTAAAATATGCATTTCTGGCTATAATTTTATTATCTGAGTGTTCTTTTATTTAGTATAAGTTCTTAGACTTTTTTTTCTTTAGAGTGTGAAAAGATTATCAGTCTATTTGCAACAGAGATATACTGTGATTGAACTTCATATGACCATATGATAATTGTTATCAGGGTACTATAGCATGGAAGTTAGGACCACTGGAGTCAAAATGCCTGGATTCAAATCCCACTTTTCCACCCCTTCTATGTTGAGTGCATGGAATGTAATTGTAGAGAAGTTATTTAACCCCATAAGCTTCATCCTCATCTTTTAATGGAGATAATAATGGCATCTACCAGATAGGATTTTTGAGAAGATTCCATTAGAATGGCACATGTGTCAGCCAGTTTTCACTAGGTTATGCTGCAGTAAGAAATGAATCTAAATTATCAATGGCTTTCAACTACGGAGGTGTATTTCTCATTGATACTCATGTCCATCATGAGTTGGCTCTGCCTCTGCTCCATATTCTCTTCCTTCTGAGACACAACTGAGGGAACAGCCTCTATCAGTCTCATGACAGAGGGAAAATGGGGATGGCAGAACTCATTGTGGTTTTAACAATTCCTGCTTGGAAGCAGCACATGTCACTTCCATTCATATTAATTGGCCAAAGTAAGCCACGTGGCCAAGGCTAACATCAGTGAATGGGTACAGTCATCTACCACAACATGCAATGCACATTGACTGGAACTCAATCAACAGTTTTGGTTTTTAAATCCTGTTCATAAAAGATAAATTATAGTTTGAGATTCATGTTATCCTTTTCTAGGACTGAGAAGACTAATATTTATGTGTTTGTCAGATGATTCACTTAAGGGCAAATTAAGGTACTGAATGCTTCCTTTGAACTTTCCAGGGAAGGTGGTCTATGGAGAGCCCATAGCGGCAAGTCTCGGCACCGACGGCACTCACTACTGGAGTAAAGAATGGCACCATGCAGCCCACCACGTGATGGGTCCACCCCTGCGCCCGGACCCTTCAACACCTGACTTCCTCATGAATCTATTGGCTAAGTAATCATTTAGCAGATGATTGTGAAGTCTTTTGTCAAAATAAGGTGTTTTATGAGTCTCAGGTTTGAGTGTAGGAGATTCTGTCCTACCATCTGCACCTTCCATTGACGTCCTGTTCTACTTGACCTCTTCTGTTCTGTTCCTATTCCTCTCTGTTCTACTTGACCTGACAGGCCCTGGGAGGCCCTCATCTGGAGACCAAAGAGCATTCACTTAATTATTTTATGATATGGTATCAAAACCTTTCATAGACACAGAGAAATCAGGTCGTTTCTACTGAAATTTTACTCATTTCTCATTTTTTCCTTCTCTTTTCTATCTGTTGTTGCCTAGAGCAGGTCTCTTCATTATGCCTTATTTTTATCATTCAGAATATTCTTGAATTTTTTTCCTGTACTGATGTAACCTGAGAACCAGATGTGCCTGTTGTGTAGGTATAATGGGTTATGATCTAGGGCAGAGCCACTGTAGGAGTGAAAGGCAAAATCCTGCCCTTGTGGAGACTATCTTAATGAAAAGCCATCCAAACTATTTTCAGAGACACAACTTTTTGGCATGTTATGATCGTTTTTCTTGAAAATTATACCATTCTTGGACATCTTGACACTCCTATTCACAGATACTTAGGTTCATGTTAAAGAGGTTTTCATAACAGACTGTACAAGAGATCACTTGCCCTTTCCTTTCAGCCTCCTCCCTCCTTCACACTTTTATATCCCAGAGATTATTCACAAGCCAAAGCAGAATTCCTGTTGCTGGTGACATCAATATCCTCAGCCAGTGTCACATTTCTGCTCATCCCAACATTGCCATTTGGCCAGGGGCTGCCTCTGTTCATGTGCGTTCACCATGGTTCTCTTCATGTAGTACTCTACTCACAAGGAATTTTCACTTACATTATTGCCAGTGATCCTGAAATAATCATCATCAAGTACATGTAATTATCAATTTCTAGATGAGAAACTGAGCATTGGAGAAGCTCATAATCACAGAACCAGTAAGTGATGGAGCTGAGCCTAGAACTTATCATCATGCTTCTTGTAAGAGTATTCTCCAAAAGTGCTTCCTAGAATAGAGATGGGGATGGGTGAAATATGTACTTGAAAAAGCTACTCATTCTGCATTGCAGTTTTCTGACTTTCAGGGGGTCAGGAGGTTAGGAAAGGTTATGGTAGTTTCCTTCTGACATATTCTGTCTACTCACCCTCATCACTCTCGTGTGTTTTTCTTTTACAGTGATGATCTAACCACAACAGGGACTGACCACTGCACTTTCAACACCTGCCAGAAAGCTGTTGGGAAGGATGATTTTACTAAGATTCCCAACGGAGTGAATGGTGTTGAAGACCGGATGTCAGTAATATGGCAAAAAGGCGTGGTGAGTTTTGCAGGATCCAGCCTGTTTTGCCTAATTCTTCAGCCAGGATCTAGCCCATTTTAGGACCAGAGAACCACAAACCTTCATAGAGAAAATTTTTGATTGTTTTTACTAGAGTGGAGACTGGGAGTGCAACACCACCACCACCATCACCCATCCTCCAGGATAATTTCAGCAAAGAAATAATTTTCTTCTCTGCATAGTTTAGTTTAGAGGATGTATTGCACCATTTTGCAGACAGTAGGGGATGAATTTAAATTGGCTACCAAAAGGATTATTCTTGAAGTCTTTGAAATGTTATAGTCCTTCTACCTGATTTCTCGTGTTCTTGAATCCCAGTTCCTCATGGGTCACTGATATGAATACATGGAATGATTGAAAATACATGAAGGATTTTTATTATGTTCATACCTCCTTTTGATGAAATCTTTGTAGATATCCCTTTTATCATATTTTAAAAACTGCTGTATGAGGTCACATAAATAATCCAAAGTCTAGAAAAAGACTTTCCATGATTTAAAAATTTCTGCATGAGAATGGAGAAGAATAAATGAGTAAATATTCATATGTTAACCTGTCTAGCCAGTTGGCATGTGTAGTTGTAAAGATCAGCAGCTGGAGACTTGCCTGGTTAGACCTGAGGTCCCCATTGACATGACGTTCTCACCCATCTCTCAGAAACCCTCCCTTAGGTGGCATGTTAATCATATCTCACACCTCAGAATCCCCCACACATTTCTAACTCTAATTATTTACCAGGTCTTGTCAATTTTATTTCCAAAATTCCTCCTTATTTCTGTCTTCATGTCTACCACTCTAGTTTGAGGCCCATCTCTTGTTTGGACCGTTGCAGTAGTCTCATAGCTGGTACCTGTGCCTCCAGTCTCTCACTTGCTACAGTCTATTCTATACTCCAGTACCAGAGTCACCTTTCAAAAATGAAGGTCTGTTCATACTGCTTTCCTCCCTAAAACCTTTCAGTTTTCTCCATTACTTATAGGATGATATTTGAACAATTAATTTACATTTAAAGATCTTCAAAATATCTATAGTCCTGTCTTCTGCTAATCATCCTCTTCACCCCCTTTTCCTCTACCGTAACTCTAAGTATCCCAGATGACTTCTCTTCTCTTTCTCTTTGCTTAGATATCTTTTTTTTTTTTTTTGGTGAGGAAGAATCTCTCTGAGCTAAGATCTGTTGCCAGTCTTCCTCTTTTTTCGCTTGAGGAAGATTAGCCCTGAGCTAACCTCTGTGCCAGTCTTCCTCTATTTTGTATGTGGGTTGCCGCCACAGCGTGGCTTGACGAGTGGTATAGGTCCAAGCTTGAGATCCGAACCCACGAGCCTGGGCCACCGAAGCGGAGCATGCCGGAGTTAAGCACTATGCCATGGGGCCAGCCCCCTAGATTTTCTTGATAACAGTGCAGCCTTTCTCTTTGAATTTGTGTTATTATAATGAGTATCTTCATTACAGCAGATCTTCATAATATATAAAGTGCATAAATGGCTTTAAAGTAATCAAATATTTCTTAATAACATAAAGGAAATTATGTTATTTTCTGAAACTTTAAGATGGTTTACTTATGGGAATATTACTTTCAGGATAGGTTCTTAATCATTTTTTGAGACAGGGATCATTTGATAATTAAATAAACCTTAAGGATGTTCTTGTCATATAAATGTACATAGGGATAAACTCTCAGCATTTTTTAAAAAATCATTTTAGGAGGATCACATCCCTTCAAAGTTTGTCCATATCAAAATCTCTTGCAATAGACTATCCATGATTGTTGGTTCATGTAAATTTCAATAGCGCAAAATTGAACCTCTTGAGTTGATTTTCCTCTTTCTAAAAGCGTTGTTACCTGATTTAAGGTCTATCTTATTTTAACTCTATAAAATTCCATCTAATGTCTCCATGATCATCTCATATATCTTAGGTCTGCAATAAATAAACCAGATCATAAATGTAGTAGATGGTGGTAGTAAACTTTAAACAGGAATTGAAAATACTATTGCCAACATTTAGCTGTTGTCTGTGTGATTCTGGGAAGGATGGGAAAAATTAGCGGGGGTGTTTTTTAAGCTGATAGGTTTTTGAAAAGTTATCTTCAGACCTCCATATGGTACCCCATCATCCCCATCATTATCATTATGATTGTTTAAGACTTACCAGCATCCACAGCTGTGTTCCACTTCACAATATAAAAAATTAAGTGCAGTTCTATTTGGCTTTAAGAGATACAAGTCTTATACGTTTATTGATAGGAGATTTTTAGTATTTGATCATTAGAACAAATACATTCTCTTCCTTGACTTGTTTTACAGCATAGTGGTAAAATGGATGAAAACCGATTTGTGGCAGTCACCAGCACAAATGCAGCTAAAATCTTTAATCTCTATCCAAGAAAAGGAAAAATAGCTGTGGGATCAGATGCTGACATTGTGATTTGGGACCCAAAAGCCACAAGGTGAGTCTAAGTTCTTGTATTCCTTGGCTTCCCCGTGGAGAAAAAGCACTAACTTGCAAAGAAAGTCTTCATTGGCCTTAATCAGCCATTTCTTATTAGGTGACTTATTTAGCCATGCTCAGGTATTTCGAGCCTATGCACAAGATTAATGTTTTGATGTGCGAATATTCCTTTGTTTTCCTTGGCATAAAGGATGCAAAAGTTGTGTTGCTTGCCATTCCCTGGAAATGGATATGTGTATAAAACCAATACGGAGTTACCACTTCAGTGCTTGGCTGACGCCTGAGTTCACATGAAGGAAAGGTACAGAGCAATGAAGAAAATAAAAGGTTTGGTTTGAAAAGGGCTGAATTGAAAACTCAAAATAATTACAGCCTTTTTAAACCTTTCAGATAGAAAAATTTCAGCACAAAGGATGTCACTTTTAGTTAGCCAAATTTTCCAGCTGAGTTCATCTTGAGCGTATCATTCCCAGTAGACTTCAGGTTTTGTTTCCAATTTCCATAAATTTATGTTAATATTGCAGGTTTGGCAAATTCCACCAACTCAGAAAGCATTCAAAAGAGGCTGAAGCTCTGTTAATTTCTCCTTATAGGATGTTAGCAGAGACAACATCTGCATCCTGATTTGTGTTTTTCTATAAACAGTGCAGTTGTAATAGAGAAAGTCCTGCACACTTTGACACTGTGTGTGTTTGTGTGCATGCACGCATACATGTGTAAACAGGGATGCAATAAGACCTTCTACCTTCATTGAATAGGCATTTATTCAAAGTCTCTTAGGTTTTTCATTGTAGTAAGCAAAAGTTTATAGTTTCTTGGGGGTGATATTGTCACAAAGACCCAGTTTCAACTGAGGCGCTCCTGGGCTACCCTATGGGGAAAAGAAGACCATTCAAGAAGCACATGGCTACCATTGCCATGTGCTTAAAAACAAGCCCCAGATATTCCCTTAGAAATACCTGTCTTTTTGAGCTTGACACCCTCCTCTGGGCACTCACTGTCCCAACTCAGTGACCAGTTCACATAGTTGGCCATCCACGGTCATTGCAAGTAGCTTTTAGTGAACATGTATCACCTCGTCTTTGGTTTACGATCCATGCGATGCAGTACAGGGTGGTAGGAACATCCTATTTACATAAATGTCCCAAGATACCAACAAGACACAACTCAGGGTCTTTGTTATTATGTTAACAAGAAACTATTGCCCATTTAAGGGCTAAATATCTGGTTGTCAAATAGTCTAGACCCCCTTCCCTGCGTAAGAAAAGAAGACAGGTCAAACTAAATGTGAGCAGCTTCTCTACTAGGCTAGAAAAATTGCCCTTGGGAAGACAATGGGAAAAAATTGCTTGGATTTGGATTGGTCCGTGGATGAATTGAGCATGCTCTGTTGACAGAGCTCCTGATGTTTTAAATATCCCTCTACCTGGGCTGTTGTATGCTCAGCAGGGCCCTGCCCAGAGTCATCTCCATTGCAATTCAAGCAGTCTAGGCTGTCCTAAGGTTTAGGTCTTTTGAAATAACTTGTGGCTTAAGGAGATTATGATACTTAATCAGAATACCCAGAAAATTTAAAAAGGGAGAAAACTATCATGCAGAAGAAATATTTGTGAAAAATAGTGTTTTTGAAGCATAACACCTGGGAGAGTCATAATAATGATAATAATTAGTAATAATTTGCATTTGTACAGCTCTTAGTGGTTTTTTAAAATGCTTTGGTGTTTAAAATGTGACTTACATGGTGAGACAAACATGATCACCTTACGGCGATGAGAAAACTATAGCACAACAGCCTGTGTGACGGGTTTGATAGAAGAACCCTGATCCATGTCTTTGACTTCGCAAGCTCAAATGCTTTTCATGAGATTCAGTAGCATGCTGTCTCCTCACATCAAAGCAGAGCACTTTATATTCTACTTGATTGTCCACTTTCCACTTTTTCTTCCCATCAAGTGGGCCAGTAACTAAAAGCTTTTTTGGATTTGATTCTATTCTCTGTTTTTCTTTTTTCAAAGGTGAGGGAGAAATGAAAATACTCTACTGAGTGATGTGACTCTCTAGTCTAACTCCTCATAATGTGGAGAGCCTCGGGAGGCCATTCCTGTGGTTCTTCTTTGTAACCCTGCACCCAAGCATCAACAGCAGCACCCAACCTTTCGCATCTCCTCAGCTGTTTTAATTTCTAAGGACGACATCATCTCAGGGGTAAAGCGTTGTCTTCCTTAGACAACTGGACAAAGAGAAATGACCCGAACCTAAGGTTGTGAATAATTCACTTACTCTATTTACCACATATATTGTTGCTTGGAGGCTATTTATAGGCTGTGATTATGTCTCTTTGAGTCATGTGCTTAGGCTGTATAAATTTAGACCACTTTCTCACAAGTATTAGCTGCTGATTTCTATAACGTTGTTTTGTCCTTCCTTTCCTGTTCAGTTGTTTCAGAATAGCACATAATGATCCAGATGTTTACTTTTTCTTTTTTTTTAAGATCTATATATTACCTGCTTAATATCCTTCATTTCTAGTCTAAGAATAACTAACTTAAGGTCAAACTAAAAAGTTCCTGTGCTTCTAAGTTTCTTTCTATTTCTTTCTCTCATCAGCTCCTTAAAATTTCTTATATAATACCTGTCCTTCACTTTATAACAGTAATGATAAAAGAAAATTAAATATTTACATTTTCATATATATGTCTTTTGTGGTAAAGATACAAATTGGCATTTAATTATTAGCACTAAGTCTGCTTTATCTACATCTGTTTATTGTACACACCTAGACGCTAAGCATAATGAAAATCCAGACAGCTCAAGAGCCTGAAGTATGGGTTCTGGTCCCAGCTCCATTGATGCCAAGCTCAGGGACCCAGGCAGGTCATACAAGGTCTCTGAATATCTCTCTCTCATCCAACCTCATATGTAAAATAAGGTTATTAATAATTGTTATGCCTACCTCATTAGGTTTTTCTTAGAATCCAATGAGATAATGTAGGTGAAAATGCTTTGTAAACTAAGAAAGTGTTACACAAAGACAAGATACGTATTATTATGGTTATTTTCTATTTTTTTTTTTTTTTTGTGAGGAAGATCAGCCCTGAGCTAACATCCATGCTAATCCTCCTCTTTTTGCTGAGGAAGACCGGCTCTGAGGTAACATCTATTGCCAATCCTCCTTCTTTTTTCTTCCCAAAGCCCCAGTAGATAGTTGTATGTCATAGTTGCACATCCTTCTAGTTGCTGTATGTGGGATGCGGCCTCAGCATGGCCGGAGAAGCAGTGAGTCAGTGCGCGCCCGGGATCCGAACCCGGGCCGCCAGTAGCAGAGCGCGCACACTTAACCGCTAAGCCACGGGGCTGGCCCGGTTATTTTCTATTTATCTAGTTTGGCTGGTGTCATTCTTTGCAGTACATTTCATTTTTAGGTGTTCTCAGCTGTTTACCTGTGGTGACCAGGGAGGCAGATGAACCATAGGGTTCCATTTCTCTGACCCTCAGATTCTTTAAAAACACTAGAGACCTTTTCATTTTTCTTTTCTTTTTTTACTGTCCTTTTGAAAAATGGAGAAATCTTATCTTTACTTGGCAAGATTTATTGAGATGATCTAGCTCCCTTTGGATTTCTTTGACTTATTCTGCACCTTGCTTTTCCAACCCTTTAATTTAAGAATTTCTCTAAGCCACTGTAGGAATTTCTTTCTATCATTATTCATCTTTTTCAATGTGAAAATTGCAGAATGTGGGAAACAGGAGAGGAGGGGCAGTTGAAGAGGAGACTTCATAGAATAATGAATCCGAAAGAATATCTGAACAAGGAGAAAGTGCGTTTATCATGGTTCATACTAAAAGAGAGAGAATTTTGCAGAAACTGTATGCTGGTTCCTTATCTAGGTCGGTCACAGCACCACCTTTGTCTATTCTTGGTTGTTATGAGAAAGTTGCTCATCCGGGCTGGCTGTTCCTGATCAAAATTTATGCTAATGACCTCAACTAGACCTTTCTGATGTGCGATAATATTTTTAGCCTTCTCTAAGTGTCCGTACGTCATCCATAGCTTCCCACTGTCTTTAGGCACTCCCCACCACCATCACAGCCGGCCTCTTCTCGCCCTGCAGACTGAGTTCTATTCACTGCTGGACAATACCCTGCCACAGTCTTTATTCACTGTCTTTCTCCCTCGTTAACATTCTTCAAGTCTAATTCCATTTTTTATTTTTATTTCAGAAAAGTTTTAGATTCATAGAAAACTTGCAAAGATAGTACAGAGTTCCCATATGCCCCATACTCAGTTTCCATTATTACCCTCTGACATTACTGTGGTACATTTGTTACAATGAATGAACCAATATTGATATGTTATTACTAACTAGAGTCCATACTTTATTCAGATTTTCTTATATTTTACCTAGTGTTCTTTTTCTGTTCCAGGATCCCATCCAGTATCTCATCCAGGATACCACCTTACACTTAGTTGTCATGTTTCCTAAGGCGACTCTGGTCTATGAGCGTTTCTCTTACTTTCTTTGTTTCTGATGACCTTGACAGTTTTGAGGGTTATTGGTCAGGCATTTTGTAGAACGTCCCTCTATTATGATTTTTTTGGTGTTTTTCTCGTTATCAGCCTAGGATTATGGGTTTGGGGAGGAAGGTCATAGAGGTAAAGTACCATTTTCATCCCATCCTTTCAAGAGCACATGCTATCCACATGACTGTTGATGTGACCTGGATCGGCTGGCTGAGGTAGAGTTTGTCGGGTTTCTCCACTGTACAGTTACTCATTTCCTCCCCTTTCCATATTGTACATGTTAGAAGGAAGTCACTGTGTACAGCCCACACTTAAGGAGTGGGGAATTATGCTCTAGATTTATGTTTTAATTGATTCCATATCCCCAGGACATGGCCCAGTTCAGCACAGAGTAGAAACACATTAAATGTTGAACAAGTGAGTGAAGAGGATACAGCCTTCCACACTACATGGAAGACTCATGTGATCAAGAAATG